AGCAAATATTAAACTTTGTATTTCTTTACCCTGAGAGCAATGGATTATTTTCAAGGTTGAGTAAGAGAGGTTTTTGATCAACAAGAGAGTTGAATGTTTTGGCGGCCAGGTAGGAAAATGGAGTTGAAGCACGGTATGACCTGTGATCTGCACAAATGCAGTGTAATCTTATTGAATAGCAAAGCAGGCCTGAGAAGTTAAATAGCTTACTCCATTTATGTGCCCTTTGTTTATGTTGATTTATGTTAAATTTTACATGAAATTACATGTAATTTTGCACTATATATCCTATGTTATTTATAGTGCAGAAACAGCCATTTAAAGCCACTGATCTTTGCCAGTGCTTATGACTGACACGAATCTCCTTCCAACCCACTTCATTTCATTGAATCAGAAAATCCTTTCATTCCTTTCTCCCTAATATGTTCATCCAGCTTTCCTTTAAGTACATCTCTGGATTTAAGATTACATAATACAGGCAACTGAAAGTTATGAAAATGAGAGAATCCTATCCACATTTGGCTGTCTTAGCTTTGTGGTAGATTTGCAAACCCACATATATGACAAGTCCTAAGGTTGACTTCTTCACACAGGGAACATTTGCTCATCTGAGGCGGTTGTTAACTCACTGTACCATCATGCAAATGTATACACTTAATCACTGTCTGTCGGAAGATGGATTTGGCAGAAGATGGTGAAACTTAATGAAACTCACTGCTTATTGATATTCTTGATTACAGACCTCACTGTAATATGATTCACAACTTCCACGCTGCCAAGATGGGATTTGATGGTGTGATTGTTCTTTTGCTATTGCTCTTGCTTTGCTGATTTATGGACACAGCCTTCTGCTTCTCAAAATTTGTGATTGATTTTAGATTCAAGATTATTTTACCCTTTCTCTTTGTTTCCTCTTTTGTCTCTGTCAAAATTGTCGAAACAGCCGATGTCACCATTTTTATATTATTAAGCATGAAGTGTGAAACATTGTTCACATTGTATGCTGGTGATTCACCACAAGACAATCATTTAACCTCTCTGCCTCCCTGAAGCAGTAATCATCAGAAAATGTCTCATTTTTCTGAAAAGAAAAGCTCCAAATGCTTTTCATCAATTTGTGCTCAAAATGCACACTGTCAAGTACTGATGCCCACTGCTGTCATTGGCGACTGTTCTGTCTCATTTCTAATGAGTCACCATGTGCTTCATAATATGCTTCATTAACTTTGCACAGTATCGTTTTTTGAAACCTGTGACAGCACATGAAGAAAAGATGCACACATGGTATGCCTGCACGTAATAGTCTGTAATTCATCCAGTTCTCCCAGTTGTGCTTGTCCACAAAAGAAACCATCCACTGAGTTACCTCAGCTGTCTGTATTTCTTTTTATGGAACTACAGGAATCACTTGTACCACCTTCTGCATTGTATTGATCGGAATCTGACACTGCATTGAATAGAACTTGGCTTTCCTAACACCTCCCTTGGAGACTAACAGTCTAATCAGTGTTATAATTGAGTACACTGTTTTTTCATCTTTTTTCATGCAATACAGGTGTCACTGGCAATACCTGTGTTTGTTTCTCATCCCCAATTGCTCTTGAATCGAATGACCCATTTCAGAGGGTAGCTAAGATTCAACTGCATTGCTGTGGATCTGGAGGCCAATATAGGCCAGACCAAAAAAGGGTGGCATATGTTGTCCAATTGCAAAATCACATCTAATTTTAGACACCACACTGTGAGTTTTGCATGCACTGGTTGGGTACAGTCAACAAATCTCTTGTTACTAACAGCCAAATGGCTGAGAGGTTTGATACAAACCTTCCATCTGTAGGTCGTACAGCCCATAAACCCAATACCATACCCGCACTGAATATCATATATTGATCATTTGTATGATAAGCATATGTCTTCTGACTTGATGACAGTATCAAGTTAATGGTGAACACCATTCATTGTTACTTTTTTGTCGTAGTGTGAAACAGCTAGCTTGACTTGTTACTCAATCTTTTGAGATACCTTACCTTTTAAGGGTAATCTGAAATAGCCTGGGTGTTTAAGGACCACCAAGAGCTACTACCTTCAGGTCTTCCGTGAGTTTACAAGATACACAGCAAGAAATAACCTATTCAAAGATCTCAATATCCTACAGGACTGCGTTGATGCACCCTATTTCACCATTAAGTTTGAATTGTGAAAAAATGTCTCAGGCCCTATATACATGGGTACCAATCACACAAATCTTATAATGCATGGAACAGTGGGATTCCCAATACGTGTAATGAACATTGAAAGGAAGATTGTGGTAGACAATAGTAGAGAACCCCAGCTGAGCTATTAGCAAGGACATCGAGAAAAAGGAGCTTATTTACCTGTTCAGTTTCAAATGTGAATTTAAGTACAGGAACTCATTAAGACTTGTGAGAACATGTTGCTCTGATTTGAGATATAGCAATCATATCAACAATATATCAGAAATATGAAAGGATTAGGAGGTTAGGTGTCAATACGTTGAAGATGCATTTATCATCGAATCCAACAAAGTATGTGGGAGTGTTAGGCCTAGAGGGGATTCCAAGGCCATGATGTCTGTTTGGACATGCATGATGTTAATGAAATTGATCTCAACTGGGTTACTGAGTTCATAAATTGAATGAATATTGATTCATGCAATAGTGGTGAGTCTGAAATCGCTACAATATATTAATGCAGGCAGGTGTCAATAGCTTCTTTACATTGGAGTTCTACATTGGTGAATATGTTAGCAACATGAAATGAAATCATACACATTGCGTTACTATCAATGTGCAAGATCTGTATGATCTTCGCAAGTGTGAAATATTCCTTCACTATTTAAATGGACAACTTGCTCAAACTGGCTGTAGCAATTTATTCAACCATTTCACTAGTTCATAGTGTGCAGAGCCAGTCATAGACAAGATACGGATGAAGGGAACATCACTTTTGTGTGTCTTGGACAGCCCACACAGATGCAGTCACTATAAACCATGAGTATAAACCTAATCATAAATATTACCTCACCATAGAGCGCGAATCCTTGGAAGTACAAGCTTATCCATGGCATGCATATTGTAGGATTCTGAATTACTTGTCCGATTTACATATGCAATGTGAATGTCTGGTAGTGTTGCAAGGCCTTAGTACCAACCAGGACATAGATATCATTAAACCCAACAAAGGAACTAGAATAGTCATCCTTAACCAATGTAACTATGTCAATAAAATGCACACCATACATAATGAAAGGTCCAAATTTTGTATCCATTGGACTTGCTGATCAGCCTTACTCAAAAGCTAGACAAAAAAGCAGTTTCTAGATGTATGTAAGAGCAATGAGCTGCCAGGTGGCTGGAAGGATTGTAGATGTCTTCATGTTTCCTTTGAAGATGCCATTACTGGTGGGAGATGAAATTTATCAATAAGCGATACAATACGACAATAACAGACTGATCATTCATCTCGATTGCAAGATTCTGAACCCACCTTTAATTAATTTTACAGAGAGCTCCCTATTATGCAGGCTTAACAAAAGGACTGTTAGATCTGGCGACATCTTTGGAGAGCCACTGACCTTTCTCCAGGTTGATCATTGTTGGTCAAAAACTTAAATGAATGTTATGTAATGCAGTAAGAGCAGACTATTTATCAATCTCTTTTGAGAGTTTGAGTGTTTTGTACTGTGAGGTGAAAAGAAAGAGACTAGCCTCTGTTCCAAACCACCCAGGTTTTTCTGGGAGCAGTGCATAGTTAGTTTCATCTATGTTGTCCTGTAGAGCAGTCTGAAATTGAAGCAACCAATTATTTTTGGATTTGTGAAATCCTCATTTACAATTTAGACTAATTGGATGATGTGACCGTCCAGCTGATATGTTAGCAACTTAATGAAAAGTATCTGAAGTTTGCTAGAGGTGATCTATGAGAATTACATTCACTGCATCCATGGTTAATGGACAGATTATTCTGCCAGATTACCAGGCATATATGCTTATTTCACTTGGAGGGGTTACATTTGTAGCTCTTTTTCTCGAGTTAACAAAGATGGTGTGAAAATTAGACAAAAGTATCGAAAATGTAGGAATGAAAAACTTAGTCTGGCCCTGTGCTGCAACGGGAAGATGTAGGAAGCTCAGCAACATGATGTGGATGTCACTGCAGTTAATAAGCCACCGTTCCATGTCCAGTTTTACCAAGGCAAAATACCCAGCTGTGAACTATTTATTACTGTTATTTGGTCCCCAAAACATTGGAGGATTCAACATCCTTAAATTAGTAAACTTGAGAGTGTTTTAGTATACTTTGTTTAATCTACCATAATCTATCATTTTTAACTACCAACAGCACTGGTGACAGACATGCCCCATACCTCAAGCTGCTCTCTCCAGGCAAAGTCAACTTTGGTCATTATGATTCACTTCAAATGGCCAAAGAATGAAAATTTCAGCCATACTTTACTGAAACCCTCACCTCAAGATTGGAGTGACTGTCACTCCGTACATTTAGTGAACATTGAGAAATGTGACAAAAGGGAAACAAAAGATACATTTTTAAAAACTCAGAATATGTGTTGTTACGTTCTGATTTATATCCATCTGCATTGTCATTTTATTTGGAAATATGTGGGTCAGTGTTATGCCCATGAAGCTGAGGAAGCAGCAGAGATGAAGTGTTTGATAAGGTGCTGCATATTAGACTACTTAATATGATAGTAGTCCATGGTGTTGGAGATAGTATATTAGCAGGGATAGAGAATTGGTTAACTAATAGAAAATGGAGAGTTGGGATCAGACGAACATTTTCAGGCTGGAAACGTGTAACTAGTGGTATAATTGGTGACACCAAAGCTCAGAATATCCAGCGCATATCAATCACAAATTCATTATTTGGCTGCCATATAATTTATTTTTTAATACATAAGTACATATATGTATTACTCTGGTTAACCCTATTCTTTGTATGTGTCTCTTTGTGCCTTATAGAGAAATGAATGGCTTTGTTTGAACTGTCAGACCCAACGACTGATGTCTGGAAATTTGGGAGATGCACCACTTCCTGTCCCATCACCGGTATCAAAGCAACAGCCGTCAATGTCACCACACCATCAAACAGGGCAAACAGGTGTCAGTGTGCAACAAAGAAAAGGGGCTAGCCAACAGCAAGCTGGCCCTGTCCAACCGCAGAAGGTCCCTGTAGCATCGGGTCAACAATTATCTCAACATAAGGAAACACCAACTGCTAAACCGGGAAAACCCATGCAAACGAAACAACAAGGTCCAATGGTTGTGGATAAGCAACATGCTCAGCAAATGCATCCTGGGCAAAGCGAGGCCCAGACTACGATCCCAAAAAAGTCACAGTCACCAAGGGAGAAGCCAAAACCTGCAATACAGAGCACCACCATACCTGCATCATCAAAAGTGATCAGTACTGACAAAAAAGTTGACCCTTCTACAAAAGAGACCTCCCAAGCAGCTGAACTACAGAAAGCAAAAATTCAAGAGGTAAGTCACGTAAAATGCATGTGATGGAAAAGTACCAAAAATTATTTAAATTTAAGTTGAATTGTTTTGTGACTGTACAAATGCTATGCGTCAAAAATAAATCATGCAAGCTCTGAGTCCGGAGCAATATATAGTTGAGAGTTTAAGGAAGGAAACCAGAACTGTAGAGCATTTCTTTCATGATAAAGATGATTTTAGTAATTCAAATCCAAATTTAAAGCACTCAGAGTTTTTTTGTCTCCATGACTGAATTATGCAGCTGACTTATCTCAGCTGCTTGGTAGAATAATTGAACAAAGAGGTGGCCATTCAGTCTGTCTTAACTATGCTAACTCCTTGAAGTCACTATTGAATTAAGTACAATACCCTGTTCTCTCTAAGTAGTCCTGCAGGAAGTTCATTTTCAAGAATATGTTGCAATTCCCTTTCTATTATTGAAATTATGATTGAATTTTCTTTCATCACACTTTTGGGCAGTGCATTCCAGCTCATAACTACTCAGCTTATTATTTCCTCTCTGGTTCTTTGGCTAATTTTCTCAAATCTGTAATTCTTCTGACAGTGGAAACAGTTTCTCCTCAATAACCATCTCCATAAAATTTGACATTTATTGTCTGAGAAGAACAATTTCAACTTCTTTGTACTGTCCAGATAACCACTATCCTTCATCTCTGGTATTAATCAACTAATCTTCCAAGACTTTGATCTCTTATTGAAATATGGCACCTAGATTTTGGCACAATATGCCATTGAGACCTATTCTAAACATTGTACTCAACTCTCAAACACTTCCTTCATCTAAATCACTCCACCATTCCCACTCTGTGCATGATCCCATAACTTTTCCCCATTTCTCCAGCCTTTACAAACACAATGATTTTCGATGAGAACTGTTTCATGTTCATTTGTCCCTCGACACTGTTGCTGGATCTTCAAAACTGCAGGCATTATCCCCACCCTCAGCCTACATTTGACTCCATTATCTTCTGTAGCTTCTACTCATCTGTAACCTCTCTTTCCACTCTGTATATTACTTAAAGATACCATGGCTACCTATCTTCATGCTTAGCTGCCCCTCTGCTCTCTCTTGGAATCCTTGGGTTTCTAGATGCCTGCAACGCCAAAGCAGCAAAGTCATCAATTGTTAAAAAAACTACCAGCATCTTTTGTGAGTGTGACTATCACCCTTGACCTGTATTATTTGCAAAGTGGCAATTTATACAATGATATTATACCTGTCAATGGCATATGGCTTCCACCCAATTGCTGTAATTTGCATTTTTCCCAGCTCTGGCCTTCTTTCAGCCTATACTCAGCCTGCACCGTCTAATGTGCACCAGAACCAACCTTGTTGGTTACTTGGCTCTTGTCAGACTGCTGCGAATAGTATTGAATCATTCTCAACTCCTGTTGCTGCCTGCCACTAACACTTGTATGTTAAATGTATTCACAACTGACCCATTATATTTGCATGCAATCCTTTTGCCTGGGACATCTGTCATGTTTTTAATAACATTTTCCTATTAATGTGACAACTTAATGATGCTGGAGTAGTTAAAAAGAGCTATTTTTTGTGCTGCGTGGAGTTGCAGGCCGTACTCATAGGGAGGCAGAACGGGGCACTTTATTCATTATCCCAGCCCTGACTTTCTACTACGTTGGATTTCTCCTGCGCAAGGTGAATAACTCAGTGAATTGTTTGGCTGAACTGTTTTAATTTCCGCTTTTTGAGTCTTCAATCATTTTAATATATTCACCTCGGGCTCTGAAGGTAAACCAATATCTTGAACATTTTGCTGCCTCAGGCCAGTGTTTAAAAAAAAACTTTTGTTGTTTCGATCTGCATTCCATTCGCAAACTGAGCATTAAAAGCCTTGCAGCCATTTTCCCGAGCAGGCCTAATCCTTCAATATAGTCCTGGCAACTAATACCTCAATATTTGCATTTCCCTCCTTCATTTGACTCAGCCCCTTGATGGTGCAACCCATTATTTGCCTCTGAGCTAAATTGAAAGCACATGGTGTCATGTTGTGGCCATACAAGACATTGGTTCAGCCACTTTTCCAAAACTGCGTTAAATTCTGGTCTCTCTGCTATAGGAAAGATGCTGCTAAACTTGAAGGCATTCAGAAAAGATTCATAAGGATGTTGCTGGGACTGGTGGGTTTGAGCTACTGGGAGATGCCGAATAGGCTGGGGCTGTTTTCCCTTGAGCATCGGAGGCTGAGGGGTAAACTTATCCAGGTTTATAAAATCATGAGGGGGATGGTTAGGGTGAATAGCCTGTTTTCCCAGGGTGGGGGAGTCCAAAACTAGAGAGCATAGGTTTAAGGTGCAAAGGGCAAGATTTAAAAGGGACCTCAGGGGCAACTTTTTCACACAGACGATGGTGTGCGTACAGAATGAGCTGCCAGAGGAAGTGGTGGTGGTTGGTACAATTGCAATATTTAAAAGGCATCTGGATGGGGATGTGAATAGGAAGGGATTGGAGGGATATGGGCCATATGCTGGCAAATAAGACTGGATTAATTTAGGATATCTGGTCAGCATGGACAAGTTGGACTGAGGAGTCTGTTTCTGCGCTGTACAACTTTATGACTCTTTGCAATTGAAGGCAAAGTATTGACTTGGTCAGGCAGTCAAATAAATGAGTATACACTTTAACTGGAAACAAGTTAGCTAATAATGACCCAGAAGAATCTGTAGTGGGCTTCTGCCATTCACTGCAAGAATAACCTGTATGCTACAATCACATGTCCAAGTTTATTGTCAAAACTGATCGATGGCACAGTACGTCATGTAACTGGACGCAGAGAGTTTCAAAAATACATTGACTATTAATTGAATGAGCAAAGCTATGTCAATTTAATTTCAACACAGGTGAGATTATCCATTTTGACAAGAATACAGTGTTGCAAGCATTTTTTTTTAAACGGTGAAAAGCGAGAGGAAGACCAGAGAGATTTGGCAATATGTCTGTACAATCAATAAAATGTAGCAGTCAAGTAGAAAACAAACAGCTAAAAAGAGCAAATGGAATATTAGCCTCTAAGCGTATACGGCTGGATTTAATATGTAGAGTTAGTTTCACTTAAGCTAAATGAAGTCCTGTTTTGACCACATCTGGAAGACTGTATACCATTCTAGCACTGCACGTGAGATAAAGATTCTGACCTTGAACAGGATGGTGTACATTCATCAGAAAGGGGAGAAATTAGGTGAATACAGCATCTATTCCTAGAATATAGATGAGGGGTCATGGTGTAAGGTTTTGCATTTTTGTAAAGAATTCATATTGTAGGAGAGAAACATTTCAGTGCACAACTAGCCCCACAGATTCCAGCTTTAAGTCACTGGTAAGTAAACAATCCTTCTCCTTTGTTGCCTTTGTTATCAGCCATATTTGTAATTGAGTATGTACTTTACTCATGCTATCAGCATAAATTTACATTCAGTTATCCTTGGGAAAATCCTCAACCCATGTACTAAATTCACCCTAATCCTTTTGAATGCTACTGACAGTCCTACCCTAGTCACTTGTTTAAATCAGCAATTCTATTTAAAGGTTATCCTGCAAATTGCAAAAAAGGGAGGTCTCAATGTTATTTGTAATGGATTTTATTTGAATTATAAATGTTGCACTGAGACTTGACTTGTTTATTTTAGTAAAGAATTGTTTGTTGAAATAATGGTTTTCTGTTTTAACCTATTTGTGTGAATTACTGGTGGGCCTCCGTGTCAAGGAGAAGGCATTTGTAAGTTGTTACTCGGGATTAAATCAGAGTTCTGGATTCTAATGACACAAATTTGACAAATAGGGAAGCAGTGAAGGAACAAGAATTCTACACCACCAGGTTTAGCAAAAGAGTGTTTTCTGAAGAAGGGTCCAGACCCGAAACGTCAGCTTTCATGCTCCTCTGATGCTGCCTGGCCTGCTGTGTTCATCCAGCTCTACACCTTGTTATCTCAGACTTCAGCATTAGCAGTTCCTCCAATCCTTTTATTGTGTAGTTGCTTTCACAAATAGTTCAACAGTTTTCAAACTTTTCTGTATTTCCAGGTAAATATTGAAAAACAGCCAATATTGATTTAATCAGGCAAACCCCTTCAAATATTGATAAATTTCCAGTGAATACCTCCCAATATTGATAAAATTGCAAGGAGTCTCTCCATGTTCTGATTCTCCGGCTGCGATCTCTTCTGACAACTGAAAGGCAATTTCTGCATGTTTAAAAGGAGTATCGCTGCACAAACCTTTTATTTATTCATATGTATCAGCAGAAATATCTCAGTGAATCAATTAAGAACTTGGAAGAAGCTGCTCACTGTGCTCAGTATGCTTAATTCTAGCCCTCAGAAACCTGATGATCTCCTGTATCCCACACTGAAAACCTTTAGCTATAAATTAATAATGATATCAACCTCAAGACTTTTAGCAATACATTACTGCCTGAACCAGCTATAATCCTAAAACTTAGTACAGTGTGGACATTTAATCTGAGTGAAACACTTGAGCACTGTTAAAACAATTAGTTAAGTAATTAATTAATCACCCTCCATTGCAAACAAGGGCAGTGCCAACAACTTGAATTTATATCTTGTCTCAATTTAAAAAGAAACAAACCTAAGCACTTTGCAGAGGTGTAATCAGATAAAAATAGTCATTGAGCTGAGGAAGGGGACACTGTCAGGGACATGGCAGTAAAGGTGGATTTGGAGACGAGTGTGTAGAAACTTGAATGTCAAGATTTAAATGTAGAATTTCCTAAAAAGATTATCACTATGCAGTTAACATATATTTTCCTGGACTCGGAGCCTTAGAAATGAATGTTACATTCAGTCTTAACAGAAATTGCTGGAGAAACTCTGCATGTCGGAAAGCATCTGTGGAGACAAAGCAGAGTTAACGTTTCAGATCCAGTGACCCTTCTTCAGAACAGACCGACTGATTTTCTCCAGCAATTTCTGTTTTTGTTTGCTTTCCAGCATCCACAGTTCTTTGACAGTTTTGTCACAATCAGCCTGTTACTTTTCAGAACTTCAGGTATTGTCTGTGCCACAGCACTCTGCATTACCAAACACTGATAAAACCACTGAAGTTACCCGAGCCAAAGTTACAAATGACATCTCTTAATGATTGTTACAAACTTGGATTGTACTTCTGTGACATTGCTTGGACATTCATCATTCACTGCTCATTCACCCACCACCTACTTAACACTCCACTCACTCATGTACCTAACCACCTGCCAATCCACTCACTCAATCACCCACTCCTCATCTATCCCTTGCCCTGCTCACCATACGTGAAGCCAGCCACCCCTCATGCACTATGACTCACCACCACACTTCACCTACAAACCATTCACACACCCACCTCCTGCTTACGCACTCAAGCACCGACTGCTCACTCAGCCACCCCTCATGCACTAAACAACCCTCACGACCCCACCAAAACCTCACACCACCACCTACCTACTTACTGGCACTCGTCTGCAGTGCAGGCTGTCCCTGCTGCACACTGAGTATACTCCCAGCTGATGGTAGCACTGAGCAATTCAGATCACCAAGTGAAACCTGGCTGGAGAGATTGTGCAGAGATAGCAGGAACTGCAGATGCTGGAGAATCTGAGATAACA